CACGATAAGGCTGCCATGGCGATCGGCACACGCGGAGCAGGACACACGCAGGAGGCAAGGCTGTCCTCTTTTTTGTTTCCCACGCAGGAGCCGTCTTCCCAGAGTTTGCTTGGCGACTGTCGACGCTAACTCGTCCTAATCCAGGTTCACACTTCAACCCGGCCCGCGGTGGGCAAACACACACGGACCAGATGAAGCCCCCCCCCCCCCTCCGTCACCCCTTCTCCCCTTCCCTCAATCTCTTTCGAGTGAAAATCTGGAGCGTTGTCACAAAAAATAAAAACGTCTGCTGAGACCACAGCGTCCAGCCGAGCCTTCGCTTTTGTTTCTATTGTTTTCCCGGACGCTAAAAAACAAAACAAATCCTTTCTCCCAAGACAGTTTCCAACAACATGCAGTATATACCGAGTATCTATTCCCCCCCCCCCCCCCTCAAGATGTATGTGTGTATTTGGTGGAACAGCCCATCGTGGCTGTTTTGACATCAGCCCGTTTGGCAGTGGGATCACAAATGCCGTATCCAAGGAAACTCGGTGGCTAGATGACAAGGCTGATTAAGCCATTAAAGTCCTTGATATGTATTTAGCATAATCTGCCCTGTCTGCAAATAAGGCGGCAGGGAGCTGGTTGCCGGTTGGCTAGTTGGCTCAATCAAAGCATCCGCCGGGAAGCATCAGCTTTAAATCGACGCTATGAGGAATAGAGAGGAGCTCTCTCTCTCTGTCTCTCCCTCTCAGGGGGCAATTCATTTCTGTCATCTGAAGAGACGAGGAGTGATCTGCCCGTGTTCCTCCCAGCCTCAGGTCCTTTTATGTTCCCGGCTTAATTTGAGCATTCGGCAGCGACTGGGCCGATAGTCTGGTTCCTGCTTTTTTTCCTCTTTCCTACGCTGAGATTATTGTTTTGTTTGTAGACTGCAGTGCTATTTCCCCTCCGGGTCCGATTAGAGCCGCTTTAATCTAGTCTAGATAATGTTTTTAATCAACATCTACATTTCATCCATGTTGTGTTACACGATGAGACTTTATGTTTTCATAATTAGGAATATCATTCATCCATATTAGTCACTGAACCAAACAGCAAAAGGACTCTGCAGCCAATTGTTATTCCTAGTAAGGATTATATTTTAAATATTATGTCCTATTATTTTTCCACCAAACGTTGCCTGCCAGTACGATCTTCAGTGGTTCATGTCTCGTGGCCTTTTATTGACCAGGCTGCTGTTTAATTACGCTGGTTTCATACACATGCTGTTTTTCTGCAGCTACTTTGAGGAGGGTCCGTTTGTTTCGTACACAGCACAGGTGCACGGCGGGAGGGTATTTTTATTGAGGGCTGACTATGGGCTATAGTATATATTGAGGGCTATGCATCATGTGTGGAACACTAAGATATTGATTGTGACTTCTAGCCTTATTGTCACATACGAAATCTACTGTGTATAGAAGGGAATCAGTGAGTTTGTCTTATGTTGTTTGATGAAAAGGAGACAATGCAACGCTGTCCAGGTTTGAAGTGTGTGTGTGTGTGGGGGGGTGTACCTACCTTTTGTAAGCCATTCATTAACACCCCAGGAGACGTACATACATGTTCATATTTCTGTACCCTCCACTACAACCACAGCTTACTTGAACGTATTGGAAAAGTGATCTGTTAACCTGCACCACATATCCTTTCTTCCATCAGCGATGTGGAGCCAAAATGCATCTTCTCTTCTATCCTTTCTTCTCCTTTGCCATCCCTCCCTCTTCCCCTCACTCAGCTGCACACTCCTCCTCGTCTCTCCAAAAAGCACGCGGGCTGTCGTCCCTCCCTTCTGTCTCCCCCATCTGTGATGCAGCATGGGCCGCTGGCTTGGTAATCATAGGCGGGCGGAGCGCGGGGCTGCGTACGATGCAAGCGGGGGGGGAAAAAAGAAAGGCAGCCAACTAAAATGGAAGACAAAACTACCAGAGGTCTCGCCCTGCCGATAAAAGGGTCTGCCCCCCCCCCCCCCCCCCGTGCAACATGTGCGGCGCGCCGTGTCGCACATGTAGCGGAGATGCGAGGTGGTAAAGAGGCGGAGGATGGAGCCTCCGCTAGCACAGCAGATGTGAACCCACCCAAACGCCATCGGACCAGAGTTGGTACCATGTGTTTTTCCTTTACTCGTCTCTGCTCCCTCCTCCCTCCCTCCCTCCCTCCCTCCCTCCCGCCCGTAGTTGTGTTCCAGCATGAAAAAAAAAGGCCCGGAGGCTCGTTAAAACCTTAATATACTGTACAATCACAGTAATTGAGTCAAGCTCCCCTCTGTCATGGCTTCAGTTTACGAAGTCCCCATGAAAGTTTAATGGGTCAGCGGTTGTAGAGTTTGCCGCTATCTCAACCATTCGGCAGCTTATCTCTGCTCGTGCCGCCTGCCAAGTCCCGCCGGTAGCGTCCCGTGCCCTAGAAAGATGGCCAGATTGCTCCAAAGGCATGACTGTCGCCGGACGTCTGTTCGGCACATTGTTCACCCAGAGGTCTCCCAACAGAGCCATCCGATTGGCGGTGAGCTACCAAACCCCAATATCCACTGTGTAACTTTGGGGTTTCTTTCCTCCCATTGTATTATCCATGCTAGCGAGCGCAGGGTCCCCGGTGCTCGATGGGTGTAATATCGCAGGCTCACTTAATTATGGGCCAGCTCTCACGAGAGGCATATCAGAGAAGGCAGACAATATGAGCACGGTACCCGAGCTTCCCCTGCACACGCCACATGCAGCCATTTGCATGGCAGGAGATATGAAGTGCCACATCCTCGTTTTGTTTTCAGCAACACGAGGCCGGCCTTACTCGAGATGTTTATTATTGTTATTAATATTTTGTGATCTGAGTAGCACGCGGCCCTGAAGGGGGGCTTATTAAAAGAAGTTATTGTCGGCGATCGCCGTGGAGAGACACAAGGCGTTGATTAATGGTGTGTTTTAGAGCTGACAGCACCGCGCAGGGAGACTCCGACCTGGGAGCGCTGCACTGAGATAATCACGCCGGGGAAATTGCGAGGTGTGCTTTACCTATAATGAAAGAACCCATCCATCAGGCGTGCATCACACTGGACCGCTAAGGGCCGCGGGGAGAGTGAAACTGATTTATTTTTCTTTTGACCCACTTAAATGTTCTACAATTCAGATTCAGGGAAAATGTTCTAAATATTATATTAATTTAAGTGATGGAAGATGATTGCATCACTTATGCTTTTGAATAAAAAGCATGTTATGGCATCTCCCCCTGTGACTTGACAACATAAAGAGACACGAGGCCTAAATATGAATAAATGAAGCCCATCTCAGTCACTGTGTCTCAGCTTCTCAGCTTTAGGACCATGCAGACGACGCCTCCGGAAACTTGCTGCGAAAACACTTCCTTTAAACCCCGGTTCCCTATTTCAAAACGAAATAAGGCACAAAATAGACCGGCTGGTAGCGGTCTAGTTGTCACAGTCCAGTGCAGTCCAATCATAACCCCCCCCCTCCTCCTGTCTCCCTCCTGCCTCGCCTTATCCCACAATGTCTGCCTTAGAGGTGAAGTCAAAGCTGGCGGCTTCCCGCCTTATCAGCCTTTTTCCCATCACACACTTATCAAAGCAGCCTTTTCTTCTCCTCTTGCCGCTGTCTTTCTGTTTACATTGCTCTTGTCACGGCGAGTAGACACCGGCAGTTATCTCTCAGATGGCAACATCTCAGATAAGACACATCTGTTGAACGTCTGTTGTGTGTTGTAGCAAGGAGGGGGCTCAGTGAGCGGAAATACGGCTCGACTGGTAGAAGTGAAGTTCACATGGATTCGTTTAGTGGATCTTAAATGTTTTTGAAGGGAGCACAGCGGCTGTGAAGGTTGAGATGTGAGATTTTTCTCATGCGACTCTTGGTAGGATTAACTTTTCTTCTCCACTGTATATGATTTACGTATATATATATATATATATATATATATATATATAGACAAAACATACAATTTCAACATGTCCCTAGACAACAGCCCTTTTTTTTGTTCGCTATAGTGAAATAGGTTTTGTTTTAAAGCCTGGTGTGAGTACAACTTGGTGAAGGGGGGGGGGCTTTTCCCTCTACTTCCCAGTAGAGGAGGCTGTGCATTCTCCATGGTTTTAGTGGAGCATCTCCTACCGGCCCTTCTAGTAGCCACCGGATTAAGTCTGACCCTCAATAGGACTTGTGTGGCCAGGCTTTGCAACTGCCCTCTCTCCAGGGACGCACTACAGCAAGCGTGTCAGTCCCCGACCCCGCCGGTCCCTCGGGGGAAGATCTGTTCACGCCCAGAGGGGGATCTCGGCTGCCAACGGTAGGAGGTTAGCAATAACCGCTGAGCACCGTAACCACTGTGGCGTTACACTCCGTGAGCACATTCAGGGGCCTCAGGAGCGTGCTGCCCGTGCACACTATCTGGTTCAAGTGATGTCAGAGGGGCCAGCGGATTTAAGCAGGTTTTAGTTTGACGCTAATCCCTCTCTAGCAAGCGCCGTCGATGAGAGGACTGTCCCTGCCAATGGCGTGCATCAACCCCTTTTGGATTAGCACGCGTCTCGTCCCCTCCTCCATTCTGTGAGCATGTGTTTTTTTACTCCAAATTCTTTACCCTTGGTCGTAGTTTTGAATGGCAAGCATGAGCACTGCTGTACAATGGAGTACAGCCTCGTCCTCAAGCTAAAGGTGTGTTTTTATTCTTTGTATATATATGGGTATATATGTGTGTGTGTGTGTGTGTGTCATGTTCTCTCTCTTCACGGATCTCTAATGTTTCCAGGGATGAATTATTTAGAGAGCCTGCCAGCAGGGAGCTACATGATAGCACAGGCTCAATAGTGAAGGGAGGGTGGGGGAGAGAGGCGGGGGGGGGGGGTGATCAGGTAAAAGGGTACCACACACCTCACCCTTTCCCCGCTCCTCCCTTTTGATTGGGGGTGAGTGTAACTGGAGAGTTGAAACCCAATACGCGGCTCCATTTCCCGCTCTTATAGCCGTCTGTCGTCTTCACCGATGCCTAACTCGAGTGTGCAGTCGCATTTCGCTGGCTCTCTGGGCCAGACCGGTCCCGAATGGTGCGAAGGTGAGAACGACAGGGCCGCAAGTCTCTGTCGCTATTGCGGCACCATAGCGGGGCAAGGGAACTCTCTGCCATTGGGTGGGGGAGACCGCGGACCGTGGCTTCTCCATCACCCAGATCTCGGCGGGAAACAGGACCCGGAGCTCCGGCCCTCCATGTTCAGGCGGATCCAGCAGGAGCGGCATGGGCAGCAGTCGCTGCGGAAGAACTCTGTGCCAGATCTAAGCAACGGCCTCTACCTCAGGCAAGTGATGGCAGGCCGGGCCTCTGCGCCACCTCAGGATTACTACCTGGACGACGGCGCCTTATCTGGTCAGCTGCCCGACGAGGGCGGCTTTTATAGGGATAACCGGCACGCGCTCACCAGATCAGCCTTGCATTATGGGCCTAGCTACGGTGGGGGGAGACCTACCTGGGATCAAGGACAGGCGAGGGCCCCACCCTTCGTGCTGCCCTCCGCTTCAACGCCTAACCCCTTGCCTCCTCCCCCTCCACCGCCTCCCCTGCCTCCTCCTCCGCCACCCCCTCCCCCGCCCATCCATGAGCTGAGCCGTTTGTACAGGGAAGCGCTCGGATCTAAGATGATCCCAGACATCCACCGTATTGGTGGCAGATCTCCCTCTCCTGCGGTCTACGGCGTCCACCCCCCTCTCCCCGATTACGCTGCTGAGTCATTGTCTCTCTCCAGCCGCCAAGCTTATAACAATTTCAACATCTCGTCCTTGGATCCCCGCCAGCCAACTGCCAACAGGTCAGCGGTGGACTCAGCTTCTCAGGGAATGGACGGAGCTCTCCCTCGGGCTTATGGAGCTCTAGGCTGCCAGAGGCTGCCTTACGACCCACATTATGACCCCAACTCAGTCATGATGGCCACCGCCGCTGGAATGACATCCAGCCTGCCTCTTCAACACCAAAGTGCTGCAGACCCCAAGAGGATGGTGGACCCCGCCTTCTTGGCTTTCCTGCGAGGTGAAGGCTTGGCTGAGAGCACCATCACGCTCCTGCTGCAACACGGTTTTGATTCCGCTGCCATGTTGGGAATGATGGAGGACCACGATGTCCGCTCGGTGGCCCCTAACATGGCCCAGGCCCGCGTTCTGTCCCGCGTGGCGCTCGGTTGCAAGGCAGGCGGCGTGGTTACGCGCCCCCGATCCAACAGCTTCGGCAATCGCAACGACTACTACATGCAGCCCCAGGGCTTAACTATGGACTCTGGCATGATGCAGCAGCCCCCGCCCACCTACCAGACCGTGTCCCCCAGGGTGGGGGAGTTTCTCGGCAGAAGACCAAGCAGCGCCCCATCCCAACACCTCCTGGAGACCACCTCCTACCCAGCAGCGCGGGCCATGGCAACTGGAGCTCTCCCGATCAGCTCGGGAGGATACAGCAATGCTGTGACTCAGGGAAGACCCTTCTCCATGTACAATGCCCACACCGGTCTCGCCATGTCTGCTCTCGGACAGCCGCCTCCGCCAGCTCCGGGTGCTCCTGGTGCGGCGCCCAAAACCTTCTCCGGCTCCTATTCTCCCATGGAGCTGATGAAGCGAGCAACCAACCTCCCGCCGCCGTCGCCAGTTGCGGCGCAGAGCCCCCTCCACAGCCCCCAGCTTCTTCGGAAAGGGATCAATGCTGCGCCCGAGAGCTCCATGGCTCCTGTAACTTCTTCCTCCAATCTCTACATGCAAAACCTTAACAACAGCAAGATGGTAGGACGTCGCACTGGTCCACCTGTCATAGTGTCAACCATGGCCACCACACCTGACACAAGTAATGTCAAACCTCACCTTTTGCCCTCATTTCTCAAAACCCTCTTTTCCCTGTCCTTGTTGCCAAGTTGTAATTTCTGTTAGAAGGATTTAGAATTTTTTTTTCTTTTGAAATTCTTAGATTAAAATGCACAGTTGGATTTAATTATTTATATGATTGGTAGATAGATTTTTGGCATACTACAAAAAAAATGTGGCAGTTTTTGAACAGAGGCGTAGCATGTAAGATGCATCTGACAAGTTAAGCGGCTTTGCTGTGAGAGGTCTTTTTTTAAATTACGCAACTATTTATACTTGTATTGCAACCAGGTTGTGTCATTTGCCGGAGGGGATCCTGTCTCATCACCGAGTTGAAGCGTTTTTTATGAGCAGCGCTGCTGTTATTGAGGTCAACTTCTATTTTTCAGCTTTTTCCTTTTGGTTACTTTACTTGTCGGAATTCTTTTTTTGAAGCAACAATTTGCATCAAGTTCAAGGTTTCTTGAAATTTACACACTTAAATACAACATGTTGTTTACTAGCTGTCCTCTTGAGAAACTCTTTTTTTTTTACAAAGACAGCTAGATGTCTTTTAAAAGTGTCTTTCTTTTGATGCAGAGTTGCTGTGATTCTATTTTACGTTGTACTCTCACCTAATCTTGGGCTTAGCTGCTTTGGATCCAATTACACTAATAGGATGTAGAGTTGCATGGACGGCCATTTTTTAAAAACACCCTGTTGTCAGTTACAAATTCTGGTTCGACAGCTTTCATGCAGCTAGAAGTTACCACATTGTGCAAACATTGTTAACTCAGAGGGTAAATTTCTTCATCAAAAGTTATGATGATGGAAACGTTTCGTATTTGATGGTCCCTTGGATTTCGGATGCGTACAATATGGCAAGACCAAATTCATTTTTTCTACAATTGTGTGTTCTTGTTAGTCACATGTCCCTGGGGATATGCTAATTGTCATGCTAGGTGGTCTCCTCGAGCACAACAAGTGGCTGCGGAGGTTTTTGTGCTCAGCTTAGTTTGAGGGAAAATTCTCAAGCGAGACATAATCTGAGCGTATGTTCAAACATGAAAGCCTTAATAACAAATAGACATACTTCCCTGCTGTTTCGAGCCGATGAGATTAAGAGAGAGTTAATATTTTAACTTTGCCTTTACACCATGTGACCCTGTGTCTCTAATGGGTGTGTAGGTTACTGCACTTGTTGAGTAATGACTTTGTGCGTTGTCAAGGAAATACGAAGAGATATGTGAGTTCAGCGGGCAGGGGGGGGGGGGGGGGGAGTCCCTATTCGAGGGACGTAGTTTATGCGCCCCCCCCCCCCTCCACACACACTCAGCTACATTTGCATGTAGCTGACATTTGTTGCTTCGGTAACTTCATCTGATAATGGGCAGTCCTTGCCCGCCGATCGGGAAGCATACTTCTTAATTGTGTGTTGCCAGGCAACCTGGGTTTCAGTGGCAATCAGAGAAAGATGATCTTCACATTTTACAAAAAGGGAAAAGGTGAAACCCGGGCTGCAGTGTTGCACATTTATTGTTTATAGTGCACTTGTTATTCTTTTTTTTTTTGCAATGTGGGCAGTTTGGAGGAGGAGAAAATTGAGTAAAAATAATAAGATGTCGCAGGGTACTTAATGGAAACGTCGCTCCCTACTCTCTTTGTCTCTCCTACTCTCTCTCTGAATAGTGCACATCTCAAGAGACACCAGTGTAAGCCTCTCTTGTTACTACATGCACCGTGTTTTATGTTCCAACATGCATATTGATGACAAGTTGACACGTTATTCCTTTTGCACCTACTGAATAAATTGGTTGTTCTTCCAAAACAAACCAGTCTTCTCTTCGTCCTCGTCGATTCAAAATGTACATTCACACACAGCTGCTGAGGCACCCGTGTTGTCAGCTGCTTATTTATTCCCAGGGCACAGTTCTTCATGTAAGAGGCGCAGGTGGGAGGGCCCGGCCCGTGTACTCCTCTCTGCTGGGCGCTGTCTTGGTTGGCTGAAGCCATAAGTAGTGTTAATAATGGCATTAAACGGCCGAGTCGAGCTCAGCCGCAACAGTTTCCTTCGACCCAAAGTAGGGAGAGCGCCGTGCAGCACTGGCATTGGCCATGGAGTTGTCTGTCAGTAGCGTCCCACAGAGCAGCACAGGTGGGTGAACCCGAACTTGCGTGTCACGTGAAGCGGAATAGCCAACCCGTTAGTTAGAGGCGCCACTGGCCGGTAGCCGGCAGTGTGTGCGTGCTCGGTAGATTAACTGAGGTGGACGCCTGCGTGTGTCGTCCACAAATGCCGGCACGTGGTTTCCCCGGCGAAGATAATCCCTCCGGAGATCTTCAGCTGTACTTTTCTGGGCCGGAGAATTAGGAGGCGGTGATGTGTTGGGGGGGGGGCAGATCTCCTAGTATACAGGAAGGAGAGACACCGGGACTTGGCAACGGCACGATGTGGCCATATGGGATGTGTCGCACTGACGCGTTGACCCGCGTGAGTCTGCTCTCTCTGTGCCACCGTACCAGGGTTGTATCCGCTCTTTTCCTGGGAGGGTTTATTCAAAACACGACAGATCCCCTTTTCCTCCCTCCGTTTTTTGGACAGGACGCCATCAGGTGCTGCTGACAATTATGTAACCTTCCAGTGCATTGCTCCCATCAGAGCCTGAGTGGTATTTGAATTTGCCTGCCTGTGTTTGGAAAGGACATCCACGAGGATGCGTGCCTAATTTGCTCATCTGACCAAAAACATATTTCTTCCGGTGTCTGACATTGGTTTCAGCAGTCTTCCACCGGCTCGTTAGAAAAGAAACATCCCTTGAGTGTTGACGCGGCCTTAGACTTTGTTTCCGGACACACCTGAGTTATGTGTCTGTCCTTTTGACTGAATGAGGCCTCTTCACATGAGCGCTCATGTCGCCCCAAACTTCTCACTCCAAAGCGCGTCTTGCGTTATATGGAGATATATGGAGAGCTAACCCCCCGCCCACAGCTCCCCCCTGTTTCCTGTCACACATGTACACAGAGCACAGATGTCCATCTCTCAGCAGCAGGAAGCGTTTCTCCTCCTCAGAGGCCAGGCTGGTTGAGACAGCGGGACATCGAGACAAGACCTTTGGGTTTCCTCTTGCTGTCTCCGTCTTCCTTTGACTCACACTATTTACTGTGCACGTGCGCCCACCAAGTATCATGCCGCTCGCGCTGTCCTCATCAACACACCCGGCATGACGCCTGACCTCACTCAAACTGATTAGGCGTTTGCCCCTCACCCCCCTCGTAGCACAAGGGGAGTAGCTCATCAAAAATGGACTCCTGTCCTAATACTTCCTGACCGCACCGTATGTCGACTCCTTCCTTGCTGGTGGATGCGGTAGTGGGTTACGGTGTAATCTTTGGTTACCTGTCCAGGAATAGGCTGAGCATTAGAGTGGAGGAAATCCTATTGGCCATCTGTGTGTGTGTGTGTGTGTGTGTGTGTGTGTGTGTGTGTGTGTGTGTGTGTGTGTGTGTGTGTGTGTGTGTGTGTGAAGGGCCATAGATATGTTTCTGTGTGGGTGCCGCTACACGAGCATCACATGTCAGTGAGGCTCTTTCCTCACTGATCCCTCTCATACGAATGAGTGGAGACGGACGAGAGGTTCCAGCTTCCAACATCTATGCAAACTAGTTTGTAATCTGGAAAAAAGGGGAAACAAAACAATTATATATGAAAGGTTGACGGCTCATTGAAACAATGAAGAGCAGCATCACGGCAGTCACGCGGCGGCGAGCATTGTTCGTACCATCGTGCGACCGACTAGTGAACCGTGGCGCTCGTAACATCAACGCAGCGTGCCTTTTGTGTTACACTTTTAACACCCTCATATGTATGCTAGAAGGTTAAACTTTAACCCCAAAGCCAGTGCTTCATTTCCAATCTAATTTACTAAAGTGCAAACGGGAATGTAAAACCATGGGAATGTTTACCCGGCCCCTCCGACGGCCACGGTTCACCTCCCCATTGTTAAATGCTCATCTGTGCGCCGTCCTTCTGTCGTGTGTCTCCAGTTTCCCAAGAACCTGGTAAATATTACATGAACTATCTGCCGCTCCATCTCCGCTCGGCCCCCGTATTGTCCCCCCCCGGGGGGAAATATGTCCAGGAAAATCCATTTTTCCACTGCAGTTGTTTTCTTCCCTCCCGCTGAAAAACAAAAGTGTCATCAAGCCCCCTCCACGCACACCCCTGCCCCCGACCCCCCCACCCTCCCTCCCTCGGCGTTTTGTCATGGTTGATCTTTCCAAACCATCGGTTGCGTTCACGCAGGAATTAATGGTTTCTTCGAAGGCAGCCGAGCCGCGCGGAGGGAGCGGAGCCTCGGGAGCGACTGTGGAACAGCTGGTCCCCGTCTGCCTGTGATCGGACTAGCCGTGTGTTTGTGTACGCCCGCCCAGCTGCTAGCAACTGACCTATGACCCGCGGTCTGAAAGCGGGGCCTTCAGGTTTTCGCTTTCCTTTCCGTCTACCGCAGCGCCGCTCGACTATCTGTTCAACTATCAAACAAAACTCCACTAGTTTGTGATGGTCGGTTGACTCTTTTCCTTTAACAACATGTTTCTGAGTGACTTTTAGATGCTGTCAAAAATCAACATCTATTGCACGTGTTGATTTGAGGATTGAAAAGGTTCCCGCGTTGGAACGGAAACAGCCCGAAAGTAATAACCAAACTGAGCGCAATTAACTGGATCCTGCACGCTCCTTAACAGGCTTAAAGGTCACTGCTAAGCTCTAATGGCGAGATGGTGTTTGTGTGTGTGTGTGTGTGTGTGTGTGTGTCTACGCACACGCTAATCATGATGTGTTTTGATTGGTGAGAAAAAAAATCGCTCCGCTATTTGGGGCGAAGGCGTCTATTCTGCTCTCCGTCCCCTCGCCCGCTTTGTTTGCGGGGACAGCGGCGCTGTAAGAATGGCGGCACTTTGATATGATCTCCCCAATTATCTGTTGCCAATTCTGCCGCATATTAT